CGCTGCATGACTGGTCGATCATGTGTCAATTACCCATAAATCACGATAAATGTTCCGTTCTTCCGATCGGTGCCTCCGAACCATTTGGAATTTATCATATCGGTGGGTTTTTGCTGCCGAACTCTAATCGTGAGAGGGACCTCGGCGTCATTGTGGCCCCAGACCTAAAATCGACCGAAGATACCTTGAGGAAAGTCGCTTCTGCTAACAGGTTGTTTTTCGCCATACGACGATCCTTCTCTCGCTTGACTCCGGAGATCTTCAGGCTCCTGTTCACTTCTCATGTACGTCCGATTCTTGAGTATGGACTGCCCGCTGTTTATCCTCTCTCCAAATTTGAATGCAACTTGATTGAAAAAGTTCAACGGAGAGGATCTAAATCCGTTCTGGAATTACGAGACCTGCCTTACTCGCATCGTCTCCAGTGCCTGAACTTGTTCTCCCTAGCCTACCGTCGAGATCGCGGGGATTTGATTTTCACATGGCGTATCGTTAGAGGGTAACTTGGAGTTGAATTGCAGAATTTCTTTCCACTCAATTCTTTCAGTTCGATTCGGGGTTACCATTGGAAATTGTTTAAACAAAGAAGACTTCGGGTCCGTTGTGATGTCACTCTGTCTACCAGAGTAGTGAACGAATGGAGTAATCTACCTGTGTGTGTCGTTGATGCGCAGTCGGAGGAATGTTTCAAACATCAATTGGATTCTTACCTGTTGAGTAAACCCGGATCTTGTTGCTTCTTGTGTCAATGCAGCGGTTCCATTGGAACCGACTTGCAATGTCCACCTTGATCCCTGTGACGAACGGGAGGCGATGGAGCTGACAAAGGACTTTTCCTTCTGCTCTCTACATTCCAATGTTCCAATGTTTATCCAAACCGGGCTTCTCGAAGGAAAATTACTCGTAAATCAAGCGTTTCTTTGCAGCCGACGAATTTAGCATCGTACGCAATATGCAAACCCTTTTCTTCCATTGATACTGTTAGATTACAAGATATTTTACATTGATACCATCAATGACAGTTCCGCCTTACTGTGTTTCCTGTAGTCAATATTATCATGGCGTTAGTCCAATGCAAACGTGCTTGTTGTGTTGTGTTTTATTTTACTGTTTCTGTACCTTCGTTTGAATCCCATGGTTTCTGATGGCATTATGTCTGTTAACAGACTTTTGTATATATATATATATATATATATATATATATATATATATATATATATATATATATATATATATATATATATATTAGTCCAATGCATTCATATGGCAAAAGTTAAAATTTCATGTGCTAGTTCAATCGGTTGCCATTAGGTGTAATGCATTTCGTCGCAGGTGAATAACTCAAAGTTCTTAGGATATGGAGTAGTGTTTTATGGGGCAATTGGCCAAGCTGTTATCTAATCGGCCTTGTTCCAGTGCAACAGTATATGCTGAAATGCTGCATCGCTCATGTAACTTAAGTAGAGCTAAGTATTCGATGGGGATGACTCATACAATGCTGCATACCAAGAAAACTATTGTTTTGTCAATTGACATATCTTCCGCCTGAAAATAAGTTAATTTTTAAGAAAAAACAATTCGTGAATGATTGGCATTGTCGAAGTGTAGTGTTACCAATGTGTCACAACGAGAAAGGCAACCGATCATCACAACTCTGCTGGTATATGAGAAGCACCATTGGTATGAGCTGGAAAAGTCTATTTAGATAGCCTATGTAAACGGTGTCTAAGCTAAGGCTGGGACGACATCAGGCTAGCTATGAGATTCTACTCGAATCGGACGCAACGCAGGAAAAGTCGAGAGCGAGTGGAGTGCGAGCGGAGTGGATGTGTGCCGAGCTATTCAAACAATCGCAAGCGAACACAAACAGGCAGCTTAAATTCCCTGGGAATGTGGTAAAACTAACCATATTAAAAGAATTTTACTATCATACAAAAATGAGCGGGGGAATCATTGGGCAGCTAGATTGTAAACTTCAGTGCGTTATTAACGAGTTGATGGAGCAAACTGAACAGAAGTGGTCTGTGAACAGGAAACCAATTAAGCGTTTTCACGCCGGCTGACAATAACTGCATAAGTCGGCTGGACAATAAAGAAGTGTTTAGGTCTAGTGTGAATGTAGCAGTTGCGATTGCAAGACAATAGCTATAAGCGAACGGAATGGGGCGAACAGTAAGCATCCGCCCACGAAATCAGTAACGTTAAAGAAAATTACAATAAATGCCAGGTTTAAGCGAAGCAAATATTCCAAATTCACTGGCAAAATGCAAAAATGACCATGGGTGCTGCATTAAAAATTCTTTTCGTGTAAACCCAGCAGATCTGAATGCCAAATAAACTTCATACCATATAAACGTATACTGTATTAATTTGCGGTACCGAAGAATCCACACTGAGAAAACCGTTCTGTGTTAAAGTAAATTACTTTCCGGCAGATGGCGTGGTTGTATCAATAGTTCAAAGTGATCATCCGTTAAACCCAGTTGGCATAATCGTAGTGAGAGGCTACTTTCACACTTTTATCGGAATTCATCACAAATGGAGTCCATTGGCTTCATTCATAAATAGACATAAATGCAAATCTAACCTCAATCAGCCTAGTTAACTGTTCTCTTCAGGTGACGGAAAGAAGCAACTGGATTACTTTAAATTAACTACCGCTAGTGCTCAAAATATGTACCGTTGCTCTGAGTATAATGTGCGGCAATACCGTCGCAACGAGACTGGACCTTAAGGTGGTGCGACGGTTTGCGTACCTCATTGATGGAGGAGGTAGGAGCAGTAGGCAATTACCGGAAGCTCTTCCAGCTAATCCGCACCACTGGTCCCAGGAAACCAGGCGTCAGTGAGACAACCAGAGACAGAGCGGGTGCGCTGATAAACAATAAGGAGCGCCGTATGGCTCGTTGGGCGAAACACTTTGAAGATCAGTTCAGCTGGCCCCCTGCTCCCGGATCTCCTCCTACTCAAGTGATGCAGGACGAGCCATGGACGGTTAGTTTAGAGCCTCCGTCAGAGGCCGAAGTCCGAAACGCAATCACAGCCCTTAATCGTTTTCGTGCCGCAGGTTCTGATTCCCTCCCACCTGCACTATTTAAGAATGGAGGTGAGGTTCTCTGCAAGGCACTGACCTCCCTATTCGAATGTATCTGGAAGGAAGTGTTCCGGCTAACTGGAGCGAATTGATTATAGTGACAATATACAAGAAGGGCAGTCGCACAGACTGTTCTAATCACAGGGGTAATAGCCTAACGCCAGTTGTGACAAAATTATTGGTCTCGATTATCGTTCGTCGCCCCACTGCGGAACGGGAATCGGGGATTAGGGAAAAGAAGGTCGATTTTCGCTCAGGACGTGGCTGTACAGACCATATACTCACTTTGCGATAGGTGCTAGAGCAGCGCCACGCATACCGCAGACCGACAACAGCTGTGTTCCTCGATTTCAAGATTGCGTTCGATCGATCCATTCTGGTCGAAATACTTGAACGGAAAGGTGTTCCCACGAAATATGTGAACATCCTTCGTGCTCTACACTCGAACACCACAGGCCGCGCCAGGGTCTACGGTGTCCTATCGGCTAGCTTTCCGACCACAAGTGGTGTTCGTCAGGGTTGTCCGATTTCCCCGTTTTTGTTCAGTTTCGTCGTGGATTCTATCATGGAGTGTTCCCTTGCGGAATCTCACGATGTAGGCATCGAAGTGCTGCCTGGTGAAAGGTTAGTTGATCTTCATTATGCGGACGTTATGGTCTTGCTTTTCGACGATGTTGGGGCGGCACAATCAACCCTGAATAGCCTGTCCAGAGTGGTCCCATTATTTGGTATGCAATTCGCACCTTCCAAGTGCAAAGTGTTGCTGCAGGACCACCAGCCACTTGATGACCACTTGACCCTTGCTAACGAGGAACTCGAGGTGGTTGATCATTTCACTTATCGTGGCAGCTGCATCAGCAATGATGGACGCATAGAAACTGACGTCAGCTCACGGATTGCAAAGGCCAGAGCTGCCTTCTTGAACCTGCGGCATCTTTGGCGACAGAAGGGAGTTTCCCTTCGTCTGAAAGGCCGTGTATACAAGGCCACAGTGAGGGCGTCCTGATCTTTGATAGTGCAACTTGGTCCCTTCGGTCTGAACATCTGAGGCGCCTTCAAGTCTTTGATCATCGTTGTCTGCGAAGCATTGCTGGTGTCGGATGGCACCAGCGTGTCCGCAACGATGGTTTGCGTGGGCGAGTACTAGGATGTGATAATCATGCTAGCTCACTAGAGCAACAGGTAGCACTGAATAAGTTGCGTCGGCTTGGGCACTTGCTACGTATGTCTGGTCACCGCTTACCCAGAAGGGCCTTGTTTAGTCTGCCAGGTGTAGGGTGGCGCAAGGCTCGAGGTGGACAGAAGTTGACTTGGCAGCGGGAAATGAAGTCACTGACAACCAAACTGGGTGCCGTTGGTCCGTCTCGCCTTCCGGGCTGGAGTCTACGTGACTTGCCTTGTGCTTGGCTCGAGACTTTACAGGACATGGCACGCAGTAGACACCAGTGGCGCGTCTGCTGCCGTCTCCTAATTGGATTGCCTGTTTAAAGTGTGGTGCTGAGTTATCTGCGGGGTAATGACTGAATATGACGCGTGGCAGTGAAAGCCGCAAGGAAGCTGTCTCGCCGATGCCGCCTTATCTTTGCACGATAGCCAGCTGTTTGTGACGGAATGTTGTTAACACAAGGTGTAGGCGACTTGACCAAGAATGTTTGTTTAGGGCGTTAAGGTTTTCAGGTAAGTCCCCCTTCTCTCCCTCTCCTCACTCTTTATTTCATAGGTCATCATGGTTGCATGGCAGCGAAGCATCAGTTCAAATGGCTAATGTACTGCTGTCAGATGTTAGATGAGATGCGGCAATATTTTGAGTTTGTAACGCACATATAGTCAATAGGTGAACTGTATGCTAAATTTGTATATGGTCTTATATCGCTATACCTTTGCGATGTCATCCTTTGTGTCACAGAGCCCGACCAATGGGAGCGCGCAAAGCTGTGCCCGGATGCCGTAGATTTGGGCGAGTATCACGTGATAGGCGGTGTCATTCGTTTCGACTTGTTGACACTGCCCAGACAGCCTCGTTCGGGAAGGGGATGGAGCATAACCACGTGCGTACGCCCGCCTATTCTTGCACCATTTGAGTACAACGTGGATCCAGTGCAAAAGATTTCCCAGCATTCAGTCGGAAGTGAGAGCCAAGGTAGGTAAATACGATGATGTTACACATTGTGGAACCCATTATCTCATCAACATCTGCATAATACACGTTAGCCAGAGGTGGAAAACACCTCAGCTACTATGCCGCAATAAATAAAAAAGATGAAGATTCATGTCAGCTGAGCTACCAGTAACAGATGGGCATCGTTCCGGAAAGTTACCAGCCGGCTACTATGCAGCAAAAAAGTTTTATCATGAAAAAGTATATTATGTTAAGAAATGAGACCGTGGTTGGAGTGGGAGTCTAAGAGGGATAGAGTGGAATAAAAAAACTCACAGCACCAACGCCAATGAAGTCGACTTCTAACCAGGTCAGCAAGAATATCCAGAGAAACGTGTTCACCTGGTGCGTGAAGTAGCGGTGCTGAGCAGTTCATTTCCTTCTACTGTGTCGGAGACAAGGCGTCGAACACGCTCTTGACTCCCATAACCTATTGAGAGAGAGGCATCGCTCTCCACCAGACCAGAGTTTAAGCGCTGTGGCGCGTAAACTCCTTATCTACCGCATCTACATAAGCATTCTAAATGGGGTAAAGTGAGGTGCTGGAGTGATCTTGAGATGTTATCCTAGTAACGTGCAACTAGGACCGTTAACCACTACACAGGCTATACACGGGGCAAAAATAGCCTATACTAAGCAATGCGGTGTTGAGGAATGGAAAAATTTTTGTTCCTAAAGCAAGCCGATCCATAAAAACGAAAAGTCGAAATATGGTTAAGTTCAAATTGCGTAATGTGTTATTCCGACGCGCCCGTCTAAGGCAATACCAGCAAAACCCCAAAAAGAACCTCGTGTATTTAAGGAAGCCGGAGTACAGCTCACACGCGCACCGACGCGAGTTCGAAGAAGCGCATTTATTATCATCTAATTAAAAAAGGGTAAGGGGCCTTTGTATGCTGAAATGATGACGGGAAAATAAATAACGTGAAATTACTCATCATGACAGAACCTCTTCTAGGGTCTGCGTTGGTAAGAGAACACTTGCTGAAGCAGATAACGGAAAATTTTTCTCTGATTGGGAGTCGAACCTAACAGCGCGGCTCGAGTGTGTATGGAAACATGGTTTAATACAGGCAAAAAAGGTAAAGCTAAAGGAGACCCGCAAGGTAATCAGAATGAATATCAAAAAACATCGAAAAGATGTCAACGACAAGGATGTTCATATCGGTGGACTCACCAAGATATACGCATAAAGCGCAATCTCCAAAGCGGTGAAATCCCATTTCACCCATAGATGCCATGCTTGGATTGTATATGCAACGTGTGGGCGTAAGTAAGCGTAAAGCGGTTGGCAGAAAATAGATAGCTCGAAGCGCCTGAAGCTCTTTGTTGAAGCCCAACGATTTGGATCCCCTACCACAATGTTTTATCGGACTGATGCAGGCAACCGAGATCATCCTGAACCAGCACACCGAGATCCCGTTAGTGAGAACAGTGTTGCATATCCCGGACTCCAGCTTATAAGTGTTAACCATACGGTGTCGTAAATGGAGGACTCGGCGTTTCGGTACATTAAATAAAAGGCGGTTTCGGATCGACCATCCATACCTATCGTGAGAGTTCTTTTGGAGCTAGATACGGTCTTCTCGAGCTCTGATCACTCGCCAAACCATGTCACCAACGTAGAGTAAACGGTTGGACGTGATTTGGTTAACAAGATCGTTAATGAAGACAAAGAATAGACTGTGGCACACCGTATTCGATGTAAATTTGGTCTGCTATTGACATACGCACTCGCACCTCCAGACGCATGTGCAGGCGAAAATCGTAGATTCGCTCTGGGATAAGATCCCTAGTGCCACATCTTTGAATTTTGGCGGGAAGCATACGATGGTTCAACCGGTTGAATACTTTAATGAAGTCAAGATAATCCACATCAACTCCTGCACCAGCATCTCACATTTCGACTCGAGTGTCTCGTGCTAAAAACAAGTTGGTGGTGCACGACCGATCCTGGCGAAAGCATTGTTACGATTGAGCAATGTGACCGAAACCGGGGAGATGATTCCATGGTTGACACACATGAATGGAAAAGAAGTTTCTAGGGCACGCTAGGCGGCTTTCCTGTTCTGATAATTTAAGGGAGTGCCCCCTAAGTTTGGTGTTGCTGCTGAGTTGCAGTAAAGAGTGGCACACATGATTTGGATTGTGTAAAATCAAACACGTCATAATCAAGTCGCTTCGTAGACGGCAATACCGCCTGCTGAGTACTCCCGAAAGTTTCAGCCTCTGTTCGTACGGAAGGTGGCGCATTCCAATAACGTATTTAGAAGCCCGATCTTGGGGTTGGTCCAGTGCAGTAAGGTCGTGCTTCAGCCATGGCTGCCAGGCTTGGATTGCGTATTCGACATGGGGACGAAAATACGCATTCAGCATCTGTCTGAAAATAGATGTGCCTGTTTGTCCGAACACCCGTTGTAGCAAGCCGAGGTGCTGGTTACCAGTTTTCAAGGCCTTTGCGGGTTGCTTGGAACAACCCTAGTTATCATGAACAAGAACGCAAAGGCCGTGTTCGACAACTGACCGCTGTAGTACTTGCGTTCCTAGATTGTAGGAATTGGTACTTTGCTGTCGTATGGAGAGTACTTTGCATTTGTCCAAGTTGAACTGCAACAGATTTCGGGTTGACCAATCATGTATCATATCTAGGTCACACTGAAGTAAATTATGATCGGCATCTGTCTGAATCTAACGCCATATCTTGATATCGTCAGCAAACAGCAGGAAATTTGAAGCGATATTCTGTGCAAGGTCACTGATGGAGACCAAAAACAACTGTGGACCTAGAACGGAGCTATGGGGCACATCAGACTCGACTGGTATGGGTTCACATAGGGAACTCCGGACTCTTACCACTAATTGTCGTTGCAAGTGAAAGTTGGCGATCCAACTCAAGAGGGGTCATCGAGCCCGTAATATTAAAGTTTGGAAAGGAGAACTCGATGATCTAAAGGATCGAACGCCTTTGATAAATCCAGGTAGATCACATCAACAGCCTCTCGGACTTCTGCGTTACTCAGGTGATGCTGCCACTACACGCAAGCAAACCTAAGCAGACAACGAGTGTCGAGAAGAGACAATCGTTTTACGTCTTCCGAGGGGGTCGGCCAGTCGCGTTACGCATCATCATGCATTTGCGTGTCCTAGTCCGTATAAACGATGAAATGTTTCTCGAACTGCTGGCTTTGGGTTTTGATGCCCCGCTAACCAAGGTGTCAAACTTAATGACAAAACGTTCCCAAGGAATATCCAATGCATCCTCAGTTCACAAAATTCAGTCAGACGTTTCAATAAGTCGGGTTAAGGTGTTGTAACTGGTTATGTTTCGCGTCGTTTGAGTTCTCTTCTCGAGGTAGTTGTCGTAGCAATTGCGCGTGAAGTGCAAGGCGGCATGATCATTAGGACCTAGAGGAGTATTGGATATCGCTCTGGTGATGATTCGTCTCATTTTGACTCAGGCAAACAGCCGCTACACATCCAGGAAAGCGCTTTCCTGGATGTGTAGTGGCTGTCTGCCTGAGTGAAGATGAGACGAATCTCCATCAAAAACAAAATAAAGCGTTCTACTACTCAAGAATATCGCCCACGCGATCATGAGTTCTTCATTAGTGAAGATCAAGCCCAATATGGACTGCTTGTTGGTTCCCCTGAATCTGGTAGGCGAAGTGACGGGACCTTATTGTGGAAAATTTGAGACAGGGTCCAGCAGATTTACCTTGAATTGCTCTCCTTGTATGGCCTAAGATACTAGAGCATGTAAGTTGAAATCGCCAGCGAGTAGAATGTGACTGCACTATCTGTGCCCACCCCATGACCGTAGCCACCAAGTTGAAGTTCATCTCAGGTGCAGACGATGGTGGACGGTAAACAACAGGCACAGGGCAAACGTCGTTCCCCTCAGCCGTAGGCGACACTAAATGGAGTCTGGCACTTTGGTTTCTAAATCCTGTATGGATTCACACTGGAGGTTGTTGCGAAAGTAGAGGACTACCTCACTACCTTGGATAGCTCGAACATTGCGGACAATGGACATGGTTGTTAGTTGAATTTCGGCATCCGTTGTCTCACAGCATAACCATGTTTCCGTGATAGCAACGAGGTATCAAGCTGCTGACGCATGTCGTAGTCTCAATTCAGCTAATTTGCTGAGTGGATTTTGGGCATTTGTGTGTGTTCAGCATCTGACAAAAGCATACACTGCTTCAAAGCGTTTATTGCTGCTAGCCTACTGCGAAGTAGCGTAATTTTCTCACTTCGAGGGAGTTCTATTGGACGTCTCGAGGCAAGTGTGACACCCATTTTTCACCGGTGCGAAGGCGTTACCGAAGTTATCGGTTGCCTACTGCGGAAGATCTTCGAACGCAGTGTCTGCTTCCAGGGAAAGGTACAAACCACAGCGCCTTCATTCCCTCTTCGATAGAGAATAAGGGACCAGTAACGCGTGAAATTTCGCGAAGCAATGTCGGTAGCTCGTGAGTACCCAGCTTGAGATAAGTGAGCTGCGGGTTGGAGCGAGACCATTAAAAGTATCGGCTTCATCATCTGGTAATCTGGTTTCTCGGTGGGCAAAGCAAAATATTCTGAACAAAAGTCATCATCGATGAAGGAAGGCGTCATATGAGCTGATTGTACTTCGATCAGTCCATCTGAATGCCCCTACTATCGAAAATAGCAAACCAAATATCTGGGCTGTATTCCATTGAAATCCGGAATTCCCAAGGTTAGCATGTCTACAGTTTGAAACGACTCAGATGCCACGTGCTAGCCGTGCATGGCGAAGATCAAAAATGAACAAAAATACGACGAAATTATTAAAGTTGGCCAAGAAAAGATAAATGTATGCGTAAAATCGAGGAAAAGGAACGAATTTACCAAAGAATACACGAGGAAAAACTCAAATTCACGCGTGCGATTTGGGATCACTAAATTGTATGCTTAGTAAGTACTAATACCAGACGATGCGCGTAATCTAGCGCGGATATCAAAAGGTAAATGAAGTCGGACACAGCGGACTATATTCCGTGGGCTATGCGAAGACGCGGATGGATGAAGGAAGACAGGATCTAACTACAGCACTGTTATTCACGGAGCAGACGAGTGTGGTGCTAGTGAGGAAAAGAGCGAAGCAGTAAAACAAGAGAGTATGTTGTACAGTAGACCAACGATAAAATTGTACCGAAAAATAAGCGTTATCCATCTGTCTGCAAGATGATGTAAGTCGGGCACCTTGAAAGTACTGCTTGAGACATTCATTGCAGGATACGGGATCCAATTTGCCGGTGACGAAATAATACAACATCATCTCATCTTAAAGGTTGAGTGTGATACTAAGGGCCAGTCTATCAGAGCAGCGCCAAGTATCCCTTTTGACGACTGTAATGACGAGTTTCACAAGTCAAGGACGACGTTCGACGAAATCGTTTGTAGCAGGATGAAATGCGCCTGATATACGATTCAAGTCACGAAATAGTGTGGAGTCAAAGCAGTCCGCTAGTAATAGTGTTAGTGGTTGGTTCGCCGAAATATCCAACATTCGGCAAACACACGAAATATAATTTCAAAAAAAGGTAGCACGTAAAAGAATTATATGTGGCTAACGAAGGAAACGGTCAGTATACGTCAGAAGAGTGAAATCGATCGAGTAAGCTAGCGGTTTACTCGATATCTTGAAACATATTTGGAACCGATTAGGAAGTCATCATTTCAGAAAATTTGGTCGAGGACCGGTTAATATATTTATGTGTATCCCCATAAAGCTAGCGGTTTAATTACTTCCAGACGAACATTTCGGAAACGTGCTTCAGGGGGGGGGGTTGAATGGCCGTGTGTCACATGTTACCGTGGAGTTACTTTTAATGTCGACTTCTAAGGGACCATTTAGCTGCTTGTAATTCCCATACCTTATTCGCATGAACAAAGCGAATGCATTCACTTTGCTGTTATTTGTACTTCACATATGTGTACACAACTACAACAGAGAAGAAAGAAGAAAAGAAGGAAGAGAAGCCACCCGTTCAAGTTAAATTCCGGTAAGCATTTGACCAGCACTTGGAATATTTTCGTTTAAAGAGGAACATTTCCTCAAGTAAACTTCTCCGATTCCATATGCCCGACTCAAATTAAGAGTTCATTCCGGCAGAGTAGGTCAGTTACCCTTAGCAAGTTGGGGAGCTCCAGGAAGCCGAGAATGCTAAAAACCACATCTGTAATTTATGAATGGATGAGCAACATCGCCAACTGCGACATGGAGAGTTCACCTTAATGCAGTTACGATCGCGAATACAGTTTTCCAGCTTCACTTTCACACCAAGATTGGTGGTGTATGAGATTTTTAACATAAAAGTCTGCGTACGCTAAACCAGAATGTAAGCAAAGTAATTGACACAACGTAAGCGGAACGTTCGGAAACATAAATGCTTGTATTAGCACAGGTTGGTCGGAAAAAGTGAATTGTTGTATATGTAAAACTTGTTCAATCATGCATATTTACATGAATGCAAGTGTCTGAGAATTACGTGGTTTCCGATGCCAGATTTTGTGGAGGCATGAGCTCCCCATAACAATTCGTAATCCACGCGGACGATTAGATCTCAGACATACAGCCTCTAGGTCGTAATCGGAATAATAACTAGTCTTCTGTTGGCGCTTAAGATGGTATGTACATAGAAAAACAAGCACCACCAACGGCGCGGAGTGGCGTAGCGGTGAAGGGGTCTACCGACATTTGCTGGTACGGTTTGCAATTACAACCCGGCTGTTTTTACTTGAAGAGGATAGACAGTGATGAACTTAGTCGTGGGGCACAAGATTGTCCGAGAGTAACATCAATCAGGCATTTACTTCAGTCATTGTCCTAGAAATCGAGATGATCAAGGTGAACTTCAAAACGGGTCGCCGTCCAAACTGAAGTCACGTGGGACAATATATACGCACGATGGACGCCGCAAAACTTAACATCGACATGACCACATAGTTAGTGGTAGTTCGGTAGAGTTTGTATCATGGTACAACGAGGGCCCCAGTAAACAAAACTGCGATGTGTCTCACGTTCATGTTCCCCGGATAAGATGGTTTCCAAAATTTACAGACTGCCATCTTTCCAAAATACATGCATCCTTAAAGTCAGCTATTCGCATTTCTTCCCAAACGTAGGATTCGGTTTGAAACTTTAATATATGTTTGGATACTTCGTTGCAAAGCTGAATTAACCCGGTGACGCAAAATGTTTGACATGTTGGCCAGTGCGGTGGCACAAACTAGTCCAGATGAGTCTTAGAACAGCAAATCAATCGATTTCTACAGATGGAATATTATTGCACTATTGTGGATTAGCAGGTAGATTATTATTTTATGCATCGCACTCCTCGACATATGTTCCATTGCCATCGATAACGACTAGATATATTTTGCTTGAACGTCAATAGATTTGATATATGTGGCCCCCTGCTCTAAAGCAAATGCCTTTTATCCAGAGAACCTCAAAAGATTTTCCTAGAGCTACACACAGAACCGATACTATTACAGAGAAAATTGTAGTCACGACCACCATCGGAAGTTCCGAAGACGACTTCACAGTGCTTTAACAAAATCTCAACCTTCATTCGCATTACACGTGCCGGAATCAGAAGATCAAGGTATTAGAACAGGGGGTCACAATGTTTTCAGGGTCCTGATGATTGTGGATGCGCAATGAGGCGGGAGGTGAGCAAACGTCCGATCCTAGCTCTGTTGAACTGACGAAGCTGTATGCTGACTACTTTGGTAGCTGTCAACGTTTGCAGATTGGTTAAGGAAGAAGTTGCCTAACGTCATTTTCAGATTGGAACCTATATCAGAAGCAACTACATGTGGTAGAAACATCGTCATACACAACATTACTGGTCAACGATCCGACAAAAAGGATCACCTAAATGCAAGCTCTCCGATGAGAGCTTTCGTGCAGGTGACCTCCATAAGAACAGTTCTCCACCAATTTCGTCTTTGTTCGACCTCGTTTGGTATAGTAAACCAGAATCACGAAAAAATCGCGGAACCCAGTAGATGGTTAATCATTAGGATGTCGGGTTCCAAGAGCAATGGTTGTCACAGCGAATAGCACACATTTGCTATGGAATATCCACTGTGTGTTTACATTGCATTATGCAAACAAGATTTAGATAACAATTGACCGTGGGTTGAACTTTGTCCATTACGAACACTGAAATTGCGCTTGACGATGGACTGTTTATTGTGTTCCCCGCTACCAAAACCGAAGGCGTATCCGCCTCAAATGCTGTCGCGGTTAGCGGAGTGACCGAGGTTTGATAACGTCAAAGGGTGATTCTAAATGCGGTAGTGTTGCAATTTGAACGCACGGCGAATATCTGAAGACCGAAGTGTTACTGTACTTAGCCTTGCGTGTAGTTTACATTACAGTAGGGAGGATTGTGATTAACTCACCGACTATTTTCACATTTCCAAAATTGCAACGAAACAGACCACGACTATCCTTGTATAGTAGCACTCATTTTGAATGTTTGTGAGTCTGTGTCATTGTCAGACGAGGAAGACATGCCAAAAGCATAGATTGTCCTAGGGGATACAGTAGGCTCTAGACCGGAGAAGCGGGTGCACCCGATGCAGAGTGTAAACGGGATGAAGACAAAGCAACACAAGGCCAAATGTCTTCTGAGTACATACGCTTGCTACTCCCCGGATGTCTGATTTTGAAATCCACCGAGGATCATAGTAGTGAAAATTGTACTCACAGCCAAGTAGGGTGATCAGCATATCTCGGTCCATTGTGAACCACTGATTGATCAACGACTGTTACATAGTTAAACTGTTTCAAAGCACCTAAAGTGCAGCTATTAGTTACCTGCAACCAAAACCAGACAACTGGCGCATTTCCCTTCAGAAAGCTTGAAAGCGGAGCGCATGCGGAGGTTACATGATGGGTGTATGAGAATTGATTGGTCGCTGACCTCGTAACACAAGCACGGAATGTCGGAAAAGGGTAAATTAGCTTTACTGGAAGGGTCCATGTTTTGTAGTTGCTTCTGATAATATGGGATGTGTGCAGCATTCAGCCCAAATAAGTGGCGCACGATGAGAGAACAAATTACGACAGCGCAACATAATTAGAAAGACAAGAATTTGCACCGGAAAGGAAATATGTTTGGAGACCACGTAAAATAATGCATAATGTCCACATTTCTCTTAGCCTTCCAATGTGTTTGGTGATTGCCGAGGACCCACTCCTTGCAAGATGGGACCCAGAGGTGAATCAGTGGCGTACAAGTGGCATCGAGCTAGAAGAATTTAAGGAGGACGAAAACCTCATCGTGTTGCGCACCAGTGTATTCGGCACGATGGCTATTTTCCAAGATTCACACATCAATATGCCGTTCCAAGTGAGTTGTCCGACATACGAGTTTCGTTTAAATGTGGAACATGTTACAACACAATGGTATTAATAGACGTATTCAAGCGTTACCGAATGCAAGTAAAGGGCAGACCTTAATCCAAAGGCTGACGAAACACTGGGGATTCCCCGGATTACTGGATCCTCGTGAAAACGAAGCAATGAAAAACGGTAAATTAAGTGTAAATAGATGAATGTGTTAAAGTATCCCATATGTTAAGGTTGGGAACTGAATCACAACTTGTAAGCGGAACCCGTCTATAATGATTCGTGGAATGCGCTGCCTCAGATTCGTACAGTTTAATCCCTTCTAGCCGAATTTAGGTTACTGTGTTTAAAAATTTTAATCAGGTCTGATTTCACCAACATGCAGATGCTAAATTAGGTGGTGATAGTTAAATTGATTGTAAAAAATATTTTAGGTGTAAATTTATGTACTATGAAAAATCGTGACATCTGACACATGTGAGCAAAATAAATTTTGAACAAATTTTCCCTTCTCAGTCATGTAATTGTTTTAATGATGCAGCAATTGGTCAATTGCTCCTGTCTACCACACGAATTACAACAAATATTTCGTAACGATCGAGGAAAATCAAATAAAGTGAATAGTGTTACTTGTGAAATTCCCTAAAGCAGTTCTTATCTTTGTTGAAGCACAAGTGGGCTTTGAACTTCATGCAGTTGATCACTGGCCTTTACAATTTCGGCTCTTGTATCGTTGCCGTGCACTATCAACCATCGGCTAGTGGTCTACAGAACTTGATCGGATTTCCAATGATGGATAGCCCTAAATGGACCCAGGATTTTGTTTACTTTGACCTCCGTTCCAAACGATGATGAAGGCCGTCCCCACTTCCTCCTCGACATTAGTTTGCCTTGCATGAGGAGATCCTCTGCAATAGATTGACAGCAAACAAATCTAACTGCCTCTGTAGAGGCACAACCAGTGATCACAATCGCGTCGAGAGTTGCCGGCTGTTGACTGATACCATGTCGACAGAATTGAAAAAAACTGGTGGTAATTTCGGAATCTAATATGGGTCCGACAATGAGCAATCAGAGCATCCAAAGCCTCGACGACGTCGATGAACTGGATGATGTTATAACTTGCGGCGATGTCAGGTACACGAGGAATAGGATCGATTCCATCTGTACAAGCATTTTACGTTGCAAAGCACAAAGATATTTTATCTCCATTAGTATGCTTTCCTGGGAATATATTGCTTCAGGCTGGATCTCCCTTTGAATAGGACCATTTGCTCGCCAACCACAAACATTTAATCTTGGCAGATACTGAAACTGTAATAGATGCATAAGAATCAAATTTATGAGGCGATGAACCCAGTTGCTGTCAACAATGCAGAATGTAACGTAGAAGTCACATACCATCCAATTGGTAATAACTTCTAAAATTTTCATCTCAGATAATTCATACTGGTAAATTAGTAGTAGGGAACAATAAGCGAGTAATGGTCTTTTACTCTATATAAGGTAGCTCTAATTTTGTACAAGTTCTCGAAATTATGGGCAAAAATGCACGTCAAACCTACGTCCATACTCATTACTTTCAAGTAAATGTAAGTACAAAACAAACGCGAAGTGCGGTAAACTGGTTTACAGATAAAATCCAATGTACGTTCCAAAAATGCCAACACCAGCACCGATGGAAAATATCTGCAGTGTAAGTTCCATTTGCGAAAGAAATGGTTTGAAGCGTTTTCGCTACAAAATGATGATGGTTAACTACAATATTTAATCGTGTTTATGCGGAAAGAATGAATGTGGAGTCAACCACAATTTCGAAGGCTACAGCCCAAGGTGCAAAATTAATTCACGCAGAACTCTAGGCAGACGTAATGGTTTCTCAGTTTCAGAACAGTAACTGTCACGTCGGTACTATGACCGAGCTCCATTCGGTCGTAACCCACAATAGATGATATGCCATATTCAGCTTACTAGACCAGTCTAGAAGGCGCACAGACTACAAATGGACAAGCACCGAAATAAGAGTATTACGCAAAGGAAATATAAACGAAAACGCACATAACTTTATCGTTTTCGGTTAACTGGTCATATCTTCCACAAAATGTACCATAGATGCCATCTCCAAATGCAATTAACGGAACATGAGCATTTGGAACTTTCACAAGAATTGGTTGTCCTTAAGAAGACAAGATGTAATATCATGCAGGAATCCAAGCAGATATCCGTACTTTCACTGTTTTTATACCTCATCCATACTCTCAACCTTTGCACTTTGATATATTTAGTTAATATAATGCGAGAGCATGTAACATCTGGGATACATTGGATCTGACCCTGCTTATGAGCTGCTTTGTGCAAAGTCGAGAAACATACCATATATTTGTTTAAAATACACAAAACTGATGAGCGAATGCCATTGGTCAACTAATGGTTGGGAGTTGACACATCTCGCTCCAATGTAACTCATTAGTTTGGCCAGTTCTTGGTCCATACAAACTGGCTGTCCCTAGAAAGTAAGTGCTAAGGGATAGGCGGCTGGAATCAACACGGTGCGTAACGCATCGATGGAAATTATAGACAGGATGTAGTCTGAAACATTTCAGATGCGACATGATCACTCATTCTCCCCACTGTGACAAAGTGTGCGGAATACGCGATATATGCGACTCGCAGCCACCTGGCATAAAATCTACTTATGCTTCAAAGTTATTCGTAGCTGTCTGATTGAACATATCTTTGACGTCGGGTAACCAGCATGTGCTGTACGCTCGTTATAGTCGGGGTCAATCCGATTCACCTTAATCTGCGAAAAGACTGCTCTTCACTCACACTAACCGGATGGATTCTGCTGCAACTCTCTTAACCATGTGATCATGGCCGTCCTAAGTGGGCTGTGTTTCAATGGTCGCCCGTGCAATGGTCCAGCGTCGAATTCGTTTACCAGTCATCAGCAGTGATCAAAAGAAGTGCCCGAGGAAGAGAGACAGTAAACTATAAAGACTTACGTGAGTCGTTTGTGGTCGCTGCATTGCACGGTGCCTATGCCACAGGTTCCCCAGACAGCTGGGACATTCAGGAAAAGGAGTAAATAAATGGAAGGAAGTGTGATGTAACATCCTTCGGATTCCACTTTGAAAAAGATGTCATCATAGAGTCAAAAAGCACGATATAGACAGTCAACGATGGTTGCATCGGAGCACAGCGCAGAAGCCCACAAGACAAAGGAGAGTGGGGTTCACGCGGAGAAGTCGAGAAGATGGAAAACTCGTGTAGTCTCTGTGTATCATATGGCCCCCGTAAATGTATCTTCTTTCGTTTTTAAAGACAAGCTAATTTATTGCTGCCATAGTCAGTTAGCTAAGGATTGCAAGTTACAAAGACATAAAGGAGGTCGCATCATAGCGGAAGAGAGGGGAGCATGAGCGGATAAGGTGGGGAACCCACATGTGGCTGCTGCCTTGGAAAAGAACGCAGCCATCCGCAAAGCGATAAAAGGAATATGCCTGGTAACGATAGTATGAAAGGAGGACTGGGTTACATTGGGGCAATTCCTATCGAATCAGGTCGTACGCTGTTGGGAGTGAGCACCAACAACAACTAAGCAGGCTTCTAGAAAGCGAATACTTGGGTATGGGAAGATATCAAGTATGTTCACGCTTGAAGTGATAGCCCGTTGCATAAACGGACGCAACTAACTAAAAAGACGTTGAAGTAAGCATCATGACCAGTAATTGCGAGAGTTATGAACGGTCACTATTGCGACAGGGATATGCCGGGCTAGTACGCAGTGCAGCCAATTTGGTGGTAGTCAAGATTCACTAGGGTAGAGTTGCAAAGAAGCTTCTCTTCAGATGCCCCACCTCAGTTAGTTTAAATAGCTCGAATGAAAAAAATGACAGTGGCATAGTCTGATAGCCGCTTGTTTATCGCTTCTTGATGGCCGCTAAAACAATAGGTGCATGGCACCGTTAGGAGAGTAGAGTAGCAGTCGATGGATCCATGTATGAATGTCTAGGGCAAAGAGTGTGCGTAGGGCTACCTTATCTCAGGAGTTAAGCTCGACATCTACAACACAGTATTCCATTTCGATGAAGCGAAGATAAAGCAACCTCCAAAACAAACAAACATGGGAAAAGATCATACTTGGGCTGTAGCTTAACAGTGGTGAGTCATGAAAAATGGAGACGAACGAGACTGAAGATTAAAGTGATAAACCGAACATTCAACAGTGGTGGATAGATACCATGCTTGGCTCTCAGCTTTCCTTGCCCCACCTCTCATTGGGTAACATGAGAGATGATGGTAAGTGTTAACGACAAACAGCTGATGAATTAGAGGACCTATGCATAGCAAAAGGTACTCAACCTATGTAGACTTTGTGTACAATTTGAAATATGCCGCATTCAGACATCTACCTCCATTCCTTAATCAATTTCCTGAAAGGCATGGGAACTGCGACCTCTACCGTTTCGACAAAGTAAGATGGCAATGGTTGCGCATTCAGTGAGTGCAGCCACGAACGATTACACATTCGGTCTGGGAGAACCTGCACTAATGGCCAGTGCGTTCTCAGCCCCGGTCTATCGATCACACACCGGAGCCAGGTCAACACAACCAACCAGTGATCAAATGAGAGAAGGTATGGTAAGTTTTATGCGAAAATAAGAAAATGAGAGTTGACTTTTTTTACACCGGCCGAGGATCCCCATATAGCAAGGTCACACACAGCCACTCAGTGACTGGTGTACGCCCTCGAGGAACTGTCTGAAAGACCTTGTACGCGTGTTAAGTACCAAAACTGAAAAGCGATTGACTTCAGAGGTATTGCATACCACATTGGTGATGAGGCGTTGCACTTCGTCCCTCATAAATAAACAACACCAATGTCTCTAGCTCTACAACTGAGATCATAATCGATTAAGTACTTTAAACAGGCAGGATACATGGTGCTCAAATGGCTGGTTAACAAACTAGAGCGGCTGATCGACATAAACTAGGATACACCAATGGTCTAGCAACACAACTGTCTCTGACTCAGCCATTGCAGCCAATCCAGTACCATAATGTTTCACTCTTCTCCGAAATAAGCGAAGACCGGCCCAATCGGACCAAAAATGTCACTAGTATATCGCCGTTACTATGAATGGTGCTTCCACCGGTGATGCCGGTGGTGTCAAACTGCCGGATGCAAAAAAGAGCTCCTCGAAACACTGTCAGCAGAAAAAGCAGTCTGGCTAAGGATCCAACGGCCTAAAGATCATAGCCTAAGTAGATCAGTAAAACAACCAAATCACCATGCAAATAGAAATCGGGTGTTGTCCGCCCGAAAACACTGCACTACTACGACGCGTTTCGATGTCATTACATCTCATCAGATCAGTTAGCAGGCATGGAACTCGGGACCAATGGGATGTTAGTTGTGACCACTACCCCTAAGCCATCGGATCACGAAGGGAAACGCTTGGCACAACGACTTAATGAATGATATTGTGGGTCATTTTGAAGTACACATTGTGTGGATGGATATCGTGATCGAAAGACCAAGGTTCACTTCAATGTGAATCGCGGTCAACATTGATATTGCGCGTCGCAATTCATCCACACAGGTTGGTATTTCGACTCAGCTGAAACAGATTGCGACATGGGTGAGTTGGGTTTGTCAACATTAAGTAAACCCGGAATAGGTCTCCTCGCTGACGTCGATATTCAAAACTGTACAATCTCAGGGGCTGCAGTCTGTGTTGATAGGATTGATGAAAGAATCGTCTAACGAGTTTGGTCGCTCTACGTTGCGGAACTTCAAGTGCATCGACCTCGCGCCTAGATCGCATATTCCACGTGAGGCCTCACGTAGGTGTTCAGCATTTGCGGAAAAATTGATGGCTTAAAATTGCCGAAAGCCCTCAGTAAGAGTCCAAGATGTTGATTGGCTCTTTTTGATGCCTTTTCAGCCCGTCTCGAGCAACCAAGGTCGTCCTGCGCGATCGCCCTGAGGTAGTTTTCTTGGGAAGCACGTTGTAACTGCTAGTCCGCAAGTCGATATTCATAGATAAGCTGATGGCGTATGCTTACAACTTTGCGCTTGGTCACGTTGAACTGGAGCCCGTTGTCGGATGACCATGCATAAGCCCTGTCGAGATCGCTCTGCAACGCCATGTGATCATCCGATGTCCGATATCATGCCAACTTTTGATATCATCTGCAAATAGTAAGAAATTCGATTGCAGTACACTACCAAGATCGTTAATGAATGTGAGGAATAAACGTGCGCCCAGTACTGAACCTTGAGGCACGCCACACTGGACGCCAATTGGGTTGGAAATTGAACTGCGGACTCTCACATTCAGCTGACGTTGAGCGAGGAAGTTTCCGATCCAACCGAGTATAGGGTCACCGACTCCATAGCTTCGAAGCTTGTGCAGGAGAATGCGGTGGTCCAAACGATCGAACGCTTTCGAGAAGTCCAGGTAGACAACGTCGACTCCCACTCTGGTATCGGCTGACTCTGTCCAGCTTGCTCGGGTTAGCAGCAAGTTTATAGTGCAGGATCGATTTCGGCGGAATCCGTGTTGCTGTGACACTAGGATGTTGTTGATCTTAAGATATCCCATGAGCGCCTCTGCAATTATGTGTTCCATTACTTTGGATAAAACTGGGAGGAGAGTGATTGGACGGTAGTTCCAGGGCTCCGAACGATTACCGCTTGTAAATAAGAGTGACTAGTCCATGTTTCCACATTGTCGGAAACTGCATTTCGTCGAGACAACGTTGAAGAACCGAGCTAATGGTTCGCAAAGGTTCGTGGCTGCTGTCTTCAAGGCTTTCGGTTTGATGTTGGGCAAAACTCCAAATAGTGGAAGAGACCGGGCATCGGTCCTGGCTTGCTACTCCACTTGGGACTCTCCAATGAGCGCGGGCAACAAGTTCAGTAGTCTCTGCTGTAACGGCGCGGATACCCTCACCAGCCGATAAAATGTAAGTGGCCAAAACTTTGACTGCTACCAGCGCCCCCGAACTCTCAGGTGGAGATTAAAAGAGATACTTCCTTTGTCAAAATGGATTAGGCTAGCACGCACCTCTCGTTTTAGGCGCCAGCATGATCCGGCAAACTGGCCAAGATCAACACGAACTGCACTGTTTGTCAGTGTCCAAGCTATCCGGTTGAAACCACGGTAGCTGCATCAGCTTCCCAAGAGGTGATCAATATGATAATTACCGTTATTACATGGACGGCACGAGCATTAGAGATCAGGTCGTCTCAATCATCGAGCGCATCCGAAATCTGGGTTTTGGCCTAGAAACTTAGAGAGAGCAACTGTCCCTACGTATGACTAGGTCGCTGGATTCTATCTTCGATATCAAGAACCTCAACCCAGATCATAAGAGCGTTCAAACGACTCGACAGATTACTACACCAACGCACAGCTCTTAAAGTGTGCCCACGGTTGGCTTCTACATTATTGCTGCCCACAGAGGATGCACCAGTTCGGTCAAAATTACCCACTAAAAAAGAGGCGTTGAGGGGTGTCCCATTATTTTGGATAGGGTGCAAGATGAATATCATATTAAGCTAAGACCACCCAAAGGTGACTGGCAACCCAGGGTCCGTCGGGACTGTTGTCGATATTCCCAGAATCCATGTGCACATGACCGTGTCTCATAATTTCTCCGGCAAAATACAATAGGTCATTGAGTGCAGCAAGTGAGCGTGTACTCCGACAAAGATGGCATAGACGAAATGAAAAGACAGCAGTTTTCAATGATTGCTGAACACAGTCCTAAGTATCCGTAATCAGAGGCAACAAGAAACTCCACCCTACTCTACGAAACTATTCCAGTGATAAGTAATAACACACAAGACGTATGATTTGTGAGCCGTGGCTAATTAATCTCACAAATACGATAGGACAAAGATAGAAATGACGGACCTAAATGATGGTAGCATTGAAAAGCAAAACACAAAGGACTGATCCAAAGTCGTAAGCCAACACAGATAAAGTAGAAAAAAAACGAATAAAACTTGGATGTCTTTCACATCCGTCCTGGATGAGGGCGTCAATGTCTATAACTTTACCACTCAAACGAATCCATAACGGAATCACGCTCCTCCCTGATATGTAATTGGTCAAGACGATGGGCACGCATTTGTGCACGTGGGCTACTTTAGATTCAACTTGATGTGCTTGTGGATCCAGTTGAATATTCTTAAGGAGGAGCTTGATCCCGTTATGGATTTAAGTGACTCGTAGTAGGTGTAGTCTGAGGTGAAATAGTCATGTTTCTGGAAATCAGATGTGCTTTCGGCTCCATGGATCGATGTGCCATGTGAGATTATCTACTCAGGAAATGTGTGCCCAAGAATACGTAAACATTATCAAAGCGCTTTACTTGCGCAGTCCTGGCAGTGGAGCCTTATGGTAAACTGTCGCCGTCCTTCAATATCTCCAGAGGTGGGATGCAATGATGCTCGCTGTCACATTTTCTCTCCAAGGTCGCTATCAAGGAAGTCATAGAAAATGCATTCACTGGACACGACCTACAATGTGTGGAGGTGCTCCCAAATAATAAACCTCTTTACTTGGAGTACGCGGATGGCATCGCACATTTCTGTGACTGCTCCTAGATGTGTAGAGCAGCAGTGGACAGATTAGCACTGGCTGTAAGTCGTTTAGGGCTTTGCTCTGTAACCTCAAAAACAGTTTTCCTCCAAGATTAGCAGGTATCCATTTGTGCGCTGACCCTTGGTGGGAATTAGCTAGAAATTGTCGAGAAACGTAAGTATCCAGCAGTTATGTTAGCGCCTGTGGAACAGAAGGCCCAGACCGTTGAGCGAGAGGTCGAGGCACTTTTGCCAATTTCCGCCACCTGTAGCGCGGGCGCCACATCACTCGCTCTGAAGGGCAGAGTTTAAAATGCAGCCGTCCGTTCAATCCTCTTTTACGGGTGCGAAACCGGACCCATCAGATAGACATACCCAAAGAAACTTGTTATGTTCAAGCATCGCTGCCTTTGCAGCATAGCTCATGTCTGCTGCAAACACCGCGTAAACAATGAGCGCGTACGGCGTCTTGTAGTTGGCGCAGTAAGAGCGAGTGAAGCATCCAGAACTGTTACATGACGTACTAGGCTCCGATGACTGGCCCATGTGTTGCGTATGCCAGAACATCGAATCCCGCGACGTGGATTTGTTGCGCAACCGGAGTGTGGATGGAAGAGGGCCAGGCGATGATTTAGTCAGGAGGGAAGAAGACCCTTACTTCGAACATGGTGCCGGTTGTTGTCTCCCGACTGCCAGGCTTGGGTCCGCAGGACGATGAACAAGTTTGGTTGGATGCACTAATTAACATGGCGAAGAGCTGGTCCCAGTGGCGCTTTTATTGTGATTTTCTTTGTCCCTTCCTATCCCGCATATCTTCTCCCTCTAACCACGACCACAGTCTGGAAGTATATGTTACTAAGCAGTATGTAATCTGTTGGTTTTTGTATTCTACATCGTTTTATTCCCGGTTTTTATATCTTATCTTTGTATTGAGGCACGATAGATGTTTCAGCCAATATGTAATAATTATGATTGAGACCAAATACGAACTAGGAGAGGGTAATGTGGCACACCTAGATATTTTGCGTCGTATATGGTTACGCAGAGTAAAGCATACCTGTGAATTTGGAAGGTAGCCTACTCACTTAATTTCAGATGAAGACGAGCATGTGGCGACAGGTGACAACGCTGCATCAATGTAACTAACGGGAGCGTGGATATCCAAGTCAGTTCAGTTGTTACAAAGGAAAGAAAAGCCATTGTAAATCTGGGACACAGCTGGTGCCAGAATAGGATAACCTTCGCCGTTAATGGTCAACTTACAGGACCTTAATGGCCTTCGTGTTATGAGTTTCTTTGTCCCTCCCTATACTTCTTAGCCTCCCCCTTCAACCTCAATCTCATTTCATAGCATTATATAATTTTACACAATAATTTTTGTTGTTGCCTAGTAGCCGGCTGATAGCTTTACGGAACGATGCCCATCCGTTACTGGTAGCCCAACTGGCATGCAACTGCTGCATTTTTTTTCTTTTATGTATTGCGGCACAGTGGATGAGGTGTTTTCCACCTCCAGCTAACGTGTACAATGAATGAGGGTCATTCTATACCTTATCTGGTTTTGTAGATCTCTAAAGCTTTCAGGTCCTTGATCATGATTGCCTGCGGAGCATGGCATGTCTCGCGCAGCACCCACCGGTTAGCTGCGATGTGTTACGATAAAAAAAGTCAGTGCTTTAGTTCAGCAAATATGTCTGAAGGAATTGCGCTGGTCCGCCTATGCTAGGTATACCCGCCCACGCTTGTAAAGCATTCATTTGTTTTGTTCACTTGATTCGAGGAGAAAAAGTGATGATAACAGGTATATTCTCAATGGAATGAGATATGGTCTAGCGAAGCTGGCCCGATCGTATCGTACACAATAAATTCAAGCTGATGAGACCAACATTTTCAAAAGAACTAAAATATAGTTCCATGTGCAGTGGCGTTTTTGCCAGTAGTATTATCTATCACTGCAGCAGTGACACCCATCGCGCTTAACATGATTTCGGATCAGAGTTCGACCAGGAATTGAACAGTATTCAGGTGGAGCATGCATCAGTGACCATCCAAGCAACAAAGGAACATTGAATGGAAAAGTGCGAACAGAAAGTTATAACAACTGTCTGAACACCATCGTAAGGACGATGGCACACCAAAGGAGAACGCTTGCAGGATGAACACCTAACTTAAGAACTACTTTTATTGTAAAAAAATCGCAGTTCCGAGACAACGAACGCAGTAGACACAAGTGTGATGGGCGCGATTTAAATCGGCGAACGTAAACAACGCGGTTCACACGCGAAGGATAAAAAGGGGATAAGATGCATACGTTGCATGGAATAGCGAGAGAGCGTCAGATATCATACCTACCAATGTGCACACGCAGTGAGTCCTTCATCTAATGACAGAGAGGAAAGAGTCGAAGGTAAGTGTATCCAACCCATTGTTTCTCATCGGTCACGATAAGTTTTCAATCTGAATAAGAGCGGAGGGAGAAGATATCGAGGAGGAGAGCATCGAAGGTCCGCTTGTCGAATAAAGAGCGTGCCTGTCAGTTTGGCCTTCTAGACTGGGTCCACGCGATCCACTGTTTGCTTGGTACCAAACATTATGGAAGCCGGCATGCAGCAGGTGTTGGTGGCGTCTCTGTCCTCAGATCTCAGCTACACAAGCAGTTTATGTTGACACGATTCTGCGTTACTAGCGGCACGAAGTTGGTTACGACATAAAGCAATGTAGAGAGCAGGAGGTTGTCATGTTGACGTGACGATAGGTAGCTACCTGAAGGTGTGAGGATTTAATAAGGTAGGGTGCTTTAACCATGAGCGTTTGCTGGTGTATTTAGGTCCTAAACCCCATCTCACTACCTTCTTATGCGTCATTGGTACGGTAATCGTCCAAGATATGGCAGTGTACAAAGTGTATACATATAGCAGTCTATTATAAGCAACATGGATGGGGTGCACCTGTAAGTGAAACGACTGAATGCAGGAGACCCTCCTTACATACGTTCTGCTGGCATTCCTGTTAGACTGAATTGCATTCTGTAACTCTTCCTCCATGGTGTCGTATCGTAAATTACGGTACTTACAAGTTAACAACGACAACGATACCTGTCTGCTTCATAACGAGGAAGGCAGTTGTATGGGGAGCAAGAATGTTGATACTGAAAGTTGAGTGGTTGTTCGTAACCGTGGGTTACGACGAGTCGGACCTCCATATCCTGGGGAGCTACTGCGCATACCTATACATCATAATCCCTTTTGGCTTGTTTTACGATAACCAATTGCAACACAAGGCGCTGGTAATCGGGTAACAGTTTTGAAGATTAGAAGCTACAGTAGACAAACAACAGATCACCTATGCGGTGTGCACAGCCTTAGGATACTCCTGTTGCATGAGTCATAGGATGGATAGTGGAAGAAGTAACAATGCATACAGAGATCAACATAGGTAGGCTTTACTATTTACTATCGTATTAATTTATTTTCTCAACATATACAGCCCGTGGAGGCATCCACAGTCGAGATTTCAAAGGACAACATTCATAACGAACCACCAGAAAAGGATATGATCCTGGGCCCCGTGCCAACATTAGGGATATCAGACGAAGCGTATCTAAGCGAGCTGCCAGACACAAATCAGTGCATTCTAACTATCACCGGCGGTCTAACTGAACTACGCCTGCATATCTTGGGTGAGCGCATCGCTGTGTTACCCGGCCTACCCGAGCAGGGAGAATTCTCCGAACCAGTGGATACTGCTGGTAGCGATTCAGACGGGATGCCAGATATACCCAATTACCACAGACATGAACTCACTCACTTACATGGGAGATGGTTTACTTCTGATGAACTGATCACTGTCTTACAGCTGTCGGGTGTGAACATATTTCCAAGAGAAGATTCAGTATGCAGAGTAGAATGTCTGGATAAAGTGAGTGAAACAACCAATTTTTACCGTCGTTTTACAGAATGCCAACCCAGAGACGCTATCATTGCCTCAGATAATAGGAAAATGACCCAATAAGTAAAGCTAAAATGTCACAGGAAGGTTGTACAGATAGAAAATCAGATGCAAGCACAAGTGTCAATGTGTAGTATATATTTATTCAACAAACGACCGGAGACAAAACCTGCATACATCGCTCTCGGTAAATAGTCACCCAGGTAAAAAAAGGATTCAGCCCAAAAATAAGGGTGGTACAGAACGGAGCACCTTCAGTTCATTCAACTGAAGTATGGGTAGAAGTGATCCAAGTTCAATAACATTCAAGTACATTAGGGAAAATTCAGCTACGCTAAAAATCCATGAAAACTTCGACGCTTTATCACAAGTACACCACCAAGCCATAAACCCGGTCAATCCATTGCAACCATATCATCCGTACGGAACTCGACAGTGATGTCTGCTGGTTGCATTCGACCGGGTCTTCATAGGCACTGGTTAACAGCACTGAAACAGGTGGAAGTAGTCCAAGTTAGTTTATAACGCCATTAGATGATGGCGGATGAGTGAGAGGCAGACCCTGTACATTTAGAACGTTCACACGACACTTATTCAGGTCGGCCGCCATCATTCTTCGCGGTTGACTGGCCATAACCATCACAATGGAGAGGGACGGATGTGTTCTATCCATTTATCTAACAGAGAGAATGGGCACTACTAGAGAACTCAAAAAGGATGAAATGGCTGTGAAACGCTTTGCTAGAAATGCGGGTGCTGTCCGGCTGAGTTCAGCTGTGAGAGAAATTCCAATACCATGAAACTACAAAAATGTTAAGGCCGACAAAATGAAATGTGTCACCACGCAGATTTCGAAAACTAATATCGCAGATGTCATGCTGTGTCGAAGGAACACAAAAAGACCTGGATTCACTGGCCAACCAGGAAACTAAATGGCCAACCCTAAGCGTGAAAAAAGAAATGTAAAATGTATGCAACTTCAGCATATAAACCCTATATTGCACTGATTAATAGGCCGCTCGTTTAAACAATTCCCGTTTCAGAACCCCATAGTCGAGCAGAGGCTCTATGAACAGATGGCCTTGCTAAGCCCTTCGTTCGCATTTGCTTGTTCACGATGGAATGCGGAGTGTGGCGATCGGAACACGATCATCATCACCGCGGTGGAGCACGTGGATAATGAGCATTCAATAGATGAAGTGAGTGGGCATGGCTGAAGAGAACCAGGATAATATGTGCCCTGGAAGTGGGTTATTGAATAAAAGCACCTTAACGAGAGAACGCTTTACGATGAACTGATAGGCTCGTTATCCAACAGTATTCTATTGAGTCGAAAATATGACTTAAGATCCATCTATATTGACCAGAACTGTGCGAAGCCGACAGTTGCTTCACACAAGTGAAAGGGGAAAACAGGCGACAGAAACTATTGAGAAACGATGACAAAAATGCATGCCGGTGAAATAAACGGAACCACAATTATAGTAACATAAGGAACCATAGCCGCACTGTAGCTACCACAATCTATATAGAACGGAAAAGCTGTGGGGTTCAAAACCAAGTTGATAAAACCAGGATGATAAAGTTCTCAGCTGGTAAAACATGTATTATGTCACACGGATGTATGATCCCTGAAGAGTCAGTTGAGTTGAACAATGAATGTATCTGTATAAAACTATCACTATGTTCTCCGAGCAAGCTGAGTATTAAATAGGACGCGCCAAACAATCTATTGCTAATCTATGTCATAAAATGCATACATTTCCTGTCAGAATCGAGCTTTTCAAAATACTCACACTTCCTGTCTTTGAATACTGTAGCATCATTTATGGGAAAATGCGTATGGACGACAGGAAGGTCCTGGAAAAACTGCAAAGATCAATCACTAAGCGCTTGTTCAGTAAATCAAACATCTTGACTTATCAGGAGCGCTGCCAGCAGCTTAAGCTCGAGTCCCCTTGGTTGCGACGACTGAAATAACCTGACGTTGATACATAATCACATAACCCAAAAACTCCAAAATTGCAACATAACATCACTTGGAAACTATGCAACAAAGCTTGGAAACTAACTGGGCTAAGAACCTGGACAGCTATTCGATCCAACTTCTTCCTCCTTAGATACGCTGTCGTGTGGAATAGCCTAGTAGCCACCACCAAATCTTGCACAAATGCAAGAACATTCCGCACTCAACTTAGAAATTACCTGGACCAGAACAAGATAATGACCGAGTTTCAGTCGGGTATATCACTAAATGAGTTATTACAGAATGCACCAAGAAATATATAACCAGTGAGAAAAGATGTTACACAAAACGCAGTAACAACAAAAGTTTTGATTCAAAATGTTTCGATATCACACGCCCCAGAATACATATCTCACTCATGTAAGAGGATGATCACTATGGTATTCATGACATGTCCCAAATCCAGGGACAGCTTCTCGCACAACCGAGAAATAAACGCATTCTTATTATTATTGTTATTATAGATCCGGCCGAATGGGTCGGTCTGTACGTTAAAAAGCGTGAGCAACCGGATGATGCCGTAGCTTAATTAGCAACTGGCTCCCCCAAGGGCCAGCTTGAACAATTGTCAGTAAAGGCAACGCGTCAAATTATGCTGATTCAAAAAAGTGCAATTAGGCAATTTAATTGGATGACGAAGACTTCGTTGTGGTTTAATTGAGGATGCAAGCTCGGGAAAGTCTGATGATGGAATAAGTGGTGCGTGGTCGTCCCTGTCAAGTGCGCTGATATGAACGGTGATTGAGAGACCATCTGATCAGCTATGTTCCAATCATCTATTATCCGCATAATGATAGGTAGGAAGTAGGTGCAGATAAAGATGCAGGCAAATAGTCGTCGGTTGCTCATATCACCCGTTCATGTAAGCTGCATGCCTCATCCATAGGTATGCACTTCTTGGCTACCTGTCATCAGCTTGATGCGGCCACTATGTTTACAATTGTGTTAAGATATGCTAACTCTCGTTTCTTACATTTTGCCGATACAGTCACGAACAGCCGGAGCAAACCCTTAAGAATGTCACATCCGTCCTTTACCCCTGTTTACACTTCGGTTCGGTCACACTATGTCATCACACAAATTTGAGAAAAAGTGAGGTAAAACAGCTAGATTAACGGCAAGAGCGCTACCCCCCCCCCCAAAGAACGCAAAATATCGGGCCACCAGTGTGCCCAACTCATTAGTATCCATCGAGGACCCGTAGGGATATACATGCATAAGCAATCAGGTTGATCGTTTCGCAGTAGATATGATATCATCTATCGGCTTCCTCGGAACGCCAGTCAACTAGGTGAATAGCACACGCTACGTAAAGCGATTGAGGAATGTCAGAGGAACGTGACCATCGCACACAATAACACTGGAAAAAGACATGACGGAACACCACGTACCGGTAAATTTTATAGGCTCACATATCCAAACGCTGCATAATGGCATTAAAAATACTCAAATCCTTCGAAACTAGAATCAGTCAGAATCTCCAAACAGTTTCTAGTACTGGTCATTTGTCATTGGGACGTCAGGATGAATATCGTCGTCCTCAACTTCACTGCTCTCGTCACTGTCGTATTCCTTAAAAACGGCATTGTCTTCACTTCCATCCACAGCATTACTGATGCAACATTTTGTTGAATGATCGTACGATAATTTCTGATGGAATGTCCAGCCACGCTTCTTCCACCCACTCTGCAATTGTAACAATGGCATTTTTCACATTTCCACCCTTCATCAAAGCTAAATCAGACGATGCCATACATTTAATCTACCTGGCCCGAAGCCTAGCTTTAAAGTGACTATTGAGACAGACATCCAGTGGCTGCAATATTGACGTAAGTCAACCGGGAATTAAAGCCACGGACGACTTCAGTTCGCGGCATCGTTTCTCCAGTTTCTCAGTCCGGTGTGCCCTAAAGGAATCCCAGCATAGATGCTTTCTTTAAAAGGGCACTAGTTAGCTTTCCCTAAACCGTATCCAGCCAGTCAATAGTGCCACTCTCGTCCATCCATCCTTTCGCGTGAGCCCGCACATACATCGCTTGGGAACTTCGCTCCTTAAGGCAGCGTCTTACGCTTAAAAATAATGGAAGGTGACAGACGGGAACCATTGGCCATACGCCCTAAAACAACTGTGAACCGTGTCTTCGCGTGTTTCGTCGTCTTTACAAAAACTGTGTTAGCACCTTTCTGTTCCACCGTGCGATTTGAAGGTATATCGAAGCACACGGGCGTCTCGTCCATATTTCCAATTTGGGACGGCTCAAAGTCGCATTGCTTTCTCAGCTGAATCATGAACCTTTGAAAAGATTCAACTTTACTGTCCAATTCTTTCGGCAGTTTCTGGGCTAGTTGTGTGCAGGTTCGTAGACACATGCGGAATCTGCATATGAAACGACTGCAGCACTCGGAGGAAATAACAAAATTCGCCGGTTTTGATGGCTAGAATTCCGGACTTTTTGATATTGCGAGCGTCCTGATCGAATGTTCGTTCGGGTACCAATTAATCCGCTGTGCAATGACTTCATAACCCACTGCGCTAACTTTTTACTCCAGTGCAGGAAACATGGTTGTTCTACCGCATGCTGTTCTCTTGCTTACAGGCATTGGTGACAATTCTGACTTTTCCTTACGCCATTCCCTCACTTGATTTTCGTTCGGCGTAAAATGGCGTACAGCCATACAATTATTAGATTGCTCGGCAAACGTGATAACTTTCAATTTAAAGCCAACAGCATATGCACATCGCTTCTGTGCAAACATTTTTCACGTTTCCACGGTTTTGGAAGATTGCACCAAATCTGGGCACGTTCTCTCAGCTGGATCGAGTGACGTCGCGTTAGCGTTATTTTGGATAGCGAATCATAGTGCTTATATTTTATACTATGCTAGCAATCTGGTGCATTAAAAGTACGTCGTCCCTCTCATCCACTACTCCATTGCGATTCAGATGCATGAGGCCTCCGTCTACGCAAGGCGGTGTCTGACATACCCTTTCACCTTACCCCATATTGCCGGCTCTCTTATCTGTTTCGTGTCACATGGCATCTAACCAATACACTGTTCAGTGCGGGTAAAAACGTTGTTCATAGGGCTCGAAGTCCCATTAATTGCGATCATAACACATTAGGTCGCAAGAACTGACCAATAGTGGAGCAGCTTTCGCCTAAGCACACTAAAGTGAGAGCAGGTAGTGCTGAAGTCAAAATCCTGTGAAACAATTTCTTTTCTCTCTTTGCTGATTTGGGGGGGGGGGGAGGGTCGGCTAATATACGGACTTAAGATTTTGAACAAATTTGACGTTGCAGTCATACTGTTGGCTTATACACGGATCGGCTTATGCGAGGTAATATACGGTTCGTTAGTCTCCGTGACACTACAAAGCAGTGACATTGTCTTTGGACTACACAGCTACATCGTAGCGCAGCACATTCGGCGGCTTAACTGATAACTATCGCGCAACCATGAATGAGGCCAGTTTTGAAAAATAGTAGGTCTAATCGATCCTGTTACGGTAAGTAAGCTCGCGCCAGGTATCTCTGCTTGGCTGCTCGAAAACCTGACCGCTCTGATTAGCCGATCGAGAAGGCAAAGTTGAAGGTATCAGTTTAATGGCCGCCAAACACGAGACAATGACATGGCACAGACTACCGACATCTATGGGTTCTTGGTGACTTTCCCGGAGATTCTTTGTATTCTTATTTACTTTGCTTATCAATAATAGTATTAGATCATTCGAGAAGATTCTTTTGACCAGCCAGTGTGATTATACTTGATTCCCGGAAAAAGATTGAAAAACGGGTCCGTGCAGAGTTCACTGATAGATTCTTAGGAGGTGCTCATCTGGATACCTCCCCGTTTGAAGTTCACTGTTATATAATCCCAGTCAGTGGTTGATCTGGAGTGGCGTGATAGGGACTCGGCAGGGATCCTTCCAACCACTGGATCGACACTCAAGCACAGGAGAGGTTAGTCGATTGACAGGCTTATCTGTCTGAGTAGTCTCTGTTGTTGACAGCTTGAACTCGTCCAGAAGTATTTCAAGAGGCGTAGTTGGGGCATCTTCTCTTCTGGCGAATGATGCGTAGCCTCTGAGTTGGCTGATATGCCGAACCTGTCTGTCATCGCCTGCGGCCACTTCATAGCAGACATGACCATGAATTTCCATACATAATCCAG